AACAAACTAGAGGAAGACTGTTCGCCACAAGAATATTGTACCCGGCGCCCGCACCACTCCTCAGGGTACTGACTCTCCTCCTTTAACCGCACTCACCCCTTCCTTAGGACCTTCCCCCTCCTCCTCCTTTTACTTCTTCTTCCTCTTACTACTACTTTCTTCTACTTCCACTGCTCCTCCTCCTGCATGTGCCGGACAGGTGCGCTTAACAATAGCCTCCTCGTGCCCTAACAAGCGACCACCCTAATGTTATGACGGAAGAATTACCATGAAACAAAACCGAGTACAAGCGGCCTAATGATTTAGAATTGTGTTATTTATTAGTGTGTATTTTATTACACACACACATTATTATATATATATATATATATATATATATATATATATATATATATATATATATATATATATATATAATAAAGGGGGGTGGTAGGAGAAGCGAACACTCTTTTGTATTCAGAGTTAAATGGCAAGTTTTTCCCTGAATGCTGTGTTCCCTTCTCTGAGGCTGTGGGTCCCTATAATTGCACCAGAGGTGGTTATATATATATATATATATATATATATATATATATATATATATATATATATATATATATATATATATATATATATATATATTAGTATATTTTGGTAGCAGTCTTTCCTGTAGACATATATTATTAAATATGACCGAAAAAGTAAGATTAATAATTCTAACACGAATTTTCTCAATCTTTCGTACATTACGCTTCACTGTTGGAGGTAAATCGAAAATCACTTCTCCAAAATTCATTTTTATTTCTAGTCTGACGCGACACGGGCGCGTTTCGTAAAACTTATTACATTTTCAAAGACTTCACAAATACACAACTGATTAGAACTTACGTATCTCTGCTATTATATCTACATTTGAGTGAGGTGGGAGGGGTGATGTGGCATTAACACAAGACAGAACATGAGGGGATATTAATAGGGTATTAAAAGTATCAACACAAGACAGAACAGAAACAATGGGTATTGAATAGAAGTGTTTGTAGAAGGCCTATTGGTCCATATTTCTTGATGCTTCTATATTGGAGCGGAGTCTTGAGGTGGGTAGAATATAGTTGTGCAATAATTGGCTGTTGATTGCTGGTGTTGACTTCTTGATGTGTAGTGCCTCGCAAACGTCAAGCCGCCTGCTATCGCTGTATCTATCGATGATTTCTGTGTTGTTTACTAGGATTTCTCTGGCGATGGTTTGGTTATGGGAAGAGATTATATGTTCCTTAATGGAGCCCTGTTGCTTATGCATCGTTAAACGCCTAGAAAGAGATGTTGTTGTCTTGCCTATATACTGGGTTTTTTGGAGCTTACAGTCCCCAAGTGGGCATTTGAAGGCATAGACGACGTTAGTCTCTTTTAAAGCGTTCTGTTTTGTGTCTGGAGAGTTTCTCATGAGTAGGCTGGCCGTTTTTCTGGTTTTATAGTAAATCGTCAGTTGTATCCTCTGATTTTTGTCTGTAGGGATAACGTTTCTATTAACAATATCTTTCAGGACCCTTTCCTCCGTTTTATGAGCTGTGGAAAAGAAGTTCATGTAAAATAGTCTAATAGGGGGTATAGGTGTTGTGTTAGTTGTCTCTTCAGAGGTTGCATGGCTTTTCACTTTCCTTCTTATGATGTCTTCGATGAAACCATTGGAGAAGCCGTTATTGACTAGAACCTGCCTTACCCTACAGAGTTCTTCGTCGACTTGCTTCCATTCTGAGCTGTGGCTGAGAGCACGGTCGACGTATGCGTTAACAACACTCCTCTTGTACCTGTCAGGGCAGTCGCTGTTGGCATTCAGGCACATTCCTATGTTTGTTTCCTTAGTGTAGACTGCAGTGTGGAAACCTCCGCCCTTTTCCATGACTGTTACATCTAGAAAAGGCAGCTTCCCATCCTTTTCCGTCTCGTAAGTGAAACGCAGCACGGAACTCTGCTCAAATGCCTCCTTCAGCTCCTGCAGATGTCTGACATCAGGTACCTGTGTAAAAATGTCGTCAACATACCTGCAGTATATGGCCGGTTTCAAGTTCATGTCGACTAAGACTTTTTGCTCGATGGTACCCATGTAGAAGTTTGCAAACAGGACACCTAGGGGAGAACCCATGGCGACCCCATCTACTTGCTTATACATGTGCCCATCCGGGCTCAAGAAGGGTGCCTCTTTAGTACAAGCTTGGAGTAGTTTCCTCAGAATACTTTCTGGCATGTCAAGAGGAGTACAGGCTGGATCACGATACACTCGGTCGGCTATCATTCCGATTGTCTCGTCCACAGGTACGTTGGTAAACAGCGATTCTACGTCCAACGAGGCTCTTATCCCTGTGGCCCGTGTGCCCCGCAGTAAGTCCACAAATTCCTTTGGAGACTTCAGGCTGAAGGCGCAAGGAACATAAGAAGTCAGCAGGCCGTTGAGTCGCTTCGCCAGTCTGTACGTGGGTGTGGGTATCTGGCTAATGATTGGCCGAAGTGGGTTTCCAGGCTTGTGCGTCTTGACATTTCCATACGCATATCCAGGTTTATATTCCCCAATGATCTTTGGCAGGTGGAGTCCGGATTTCTTGGCGTTCACAGTTTCGATCAGTTTGTTGACCTTTGCTTTTAATTCGGCTGTAGTGTCCTTCGTTACCCTTTGGAACTTAGTTTGGTCAGAGAGTATGATGTTCATTTTCGCCAGATATTCGTCTTTTTTAAGAATGACATATATTGGCGACTTGTCACCTCTCCTGACAACTATCTCCTTGTTCTCACGAAGGCTTTTAGCTGCCGCTTTAAGCTCGGGGGACAGTATGGTGCTTCTGTACGGGCCACAGGGATAAGAGCCTCGTTGGACGTAGAATCGCTGTTTACCAACGTACCTGTGGACGAGACAATCGGAATGATAGCCGACCGAGTGTATCGTGATCCAGCCTGTACTCCTCTTGACATGCCAGAAAGTATTCTGAGGAAACTACTCCAAGCTTGTACTAAAGAGGCACCCTTCTTGAGCCCGGATGGGCACATGTATAAGCAAGTAGATGGGGTCGCCATGGGTTCTCCCCTAGGTGTCCTGTTTGCAAACTTCTACATGGGTACCATCGAGCAAAAAGTCTTAGTCGACATGAACTTGAAACCGGCCATATACTGCAGGTATGTTGACGACATTTTTACACAGGTACCTGATGTCAGACATCTGCAGGAGCTGAAGGAGGCATTTGAGCAGAGTTCCGTGCTGCGTTTCACTTACGAGACGGAAAAGGATGGGAAGCTGCCTTTTCTAGATGTAACAGTCATGGAAAAGGGCGGAGGTTTCCACACTGCAGTCTACACTAAGGAAACAAACATAGGAATGTGCCTGAATGCCAACAGCGACTGCCCTGACAGGTACAAGAGGAGTGTTGTTAACGCATACGTCGACCGTGCTCTCAGCCACAGCTCAGAATGGAAGCAAGTCGACGAAGAACTCTGTAGGGTAAGGCAGGTTCTAGTCAATAACGGCTTCTCCAATGGTTTCATCGAAGACATCATAAGAAGGAAAGTGAAAAGCCATGCAACCTCTGAAGAGACAACTAACACAACACCTATACCCCCTATTAGACTATTTTACAGGAACTTCTTTTCCACAGCTCATAAAACGGAGGAAAGGGTCCTGAAAGATATTGTTAATAGAAACGTTATCCCTACAGACAAAAATCAGAGGATACAACTGACGATTTACTATAAAACCAGAAAAACGGCCAGCCTACTCATGAGAAACTCTCCAGACACAAAACAGAACGCTTTAAAAGAGACTAACGTCGTCTATGCCTTCAAATGCCCACTTGGGGACTGTAAGCTCCAAAAAACCCAGTATATAGGCAAGACAACAACATCTCTTTCTAGGCGTTTAACGATGCATAAGCAACAGGGCTCCATTAAGGAACATATAATCTCTTCCCATAACCAAACCATCGCCAGAGAAATCCTAGTAAACAACACAGAAATCATCGATAGATACAGCGATAGCAGGCGGCTTGACGTTTGCGAGGCACTACACATCAAGAAGTCAACACCAGCAATCAACAGCCAATTATTGCACAACTATATTCTACCCACCTCAAGACTCCGCTCCAATATAGAAGCATCAAGAAATATGGACCAATAGGCCTTCTACAAACACTTCTATTCAATACCCATTGTTTCTGTTCTGTCTTGTGTTGATACTTTTAATACCCTATTAATATCCCCTCATGTTCTGTCTTGTGTTAATGCCACATCACCCCTCCCACCTCACTCAAATGTAGATATAATAGCAGAGATACGTAAGTTCTAATCAGTTGTGTATTTGTGAAGTCTTTGAAAATGTAATAAGTTTTACGAAACGCGCCCGTGTCGCGTCAGACTAGAAATAAAAATGATTTTTGGAGAAGTGATTTTCGATTTACCTCCAACAGTGAAGCGTAATGTACGAAAGATTGAGAAAATTCGTGTTAGAATTATTAATCTTACTTTTTCGGTCATATTTAATAAATATATATATATATATATATTTATATATATATATATATATATATATATATATATATATATATATATATTTATATATATATATATATCAGTTATTTGTTGCCTTAATGTTCTGGTGCCCGCGCCACCACGCAGCTAATGAACACATTCAGAAATCCAGTTTGCCCCTCCACCCCCCCCCCCCCCTTGAGTACACCTCACACTGAACTTAATTAAGAACACTTCAGGTTTTGGGAATAGAGCTGAGAATATTAACGTTTCCTTCTTCAAATAATAGCTTGGACGTATTCCAAATGTCTGAAGAAGAATAAGGACATAAATGACAATAAATCACACCATAAATGGCATTAAGGGTCATAATAACGACCGTAATAACATCTTGTCTCACTCAAGAGGGATAATCACTTGGAGGAGGGGGGGGGGGGGGCAGTCGTTAAGTATCTACATGGCCACATGAGAGTTGGCATTATCTCTATTGTGGCCACGAGACTCAGGGCCACGAGATGACCAGTGGCCACGAGACTCAGGGCCACGAGACCCAGAGCCACGAGATGACCAGTGGCCACGAGACCCAGGGCCACGAGACCCAGGGCCACGAGATGACCAGTGGCCACGAGACCCAGGGCCACGAGACCCAGGGCCACGAGACTCAGGGCCACGAGATGACCAGTGGCCACGAGACTCAGGGCCACGAGATGACCAGTGGCCACGAGACCCAGAGCCACGAGACCCAGGGCCACGAGACCCAGGGCCACGAGATGACCAGTGGCCACGAGACCCAGGGCCACGAGACCCAGGGCCACGAGACCCAGGGCCACGAGACTCAGGGCCACGAGATGACCAGTGGCCACGAGACTCAGGGCCACGAGACTCAGGGCCACGAGATGACCAGTGGCCACGAGACCCAGGGCCACGAGACCCAGGGCCACGAGATGACCAGTGGCCACGAGACCCAGGGCCACGAGACCCAGGGCCACGAGACTCAGGGCCACGAGATGACCAGTGGCCACGAGACTCAGGGCCACGAGATGACCAGTGGCCACGAGACCCAGGGCCACGAGAAACAGGGCCACGAGACCCAGGGCCACGAGATGACCAGTGGCCACGAGACCCAGGGCCACGAGACTCAGGGCCACGAGACTCAGGGCCACGAGACCCAGGGCCACGAGACTCAGGGCCACGAGATGACCAGTGGCCACGAGACCCAGGGCCACGAGATGACTAGTGGCCACGAGACCCAGGGCCACGAGATGACCAGTTGCCACGAGACCCAGGGCCACGAGACTCAGAGCCACGAGATGACCAGTGGCCACGAGACCCAGGGCCACGAGACTCAGGGCCACGAGACTCAGGGCCACGAGACTCAGGGCCACGAGACTCAGGGCCACGAGACTCAGGGCCACGAGACTCAGGGCCACGAGACCCAGGGCCACGAGACCCAGAGCCACGAGATGACCAGTGGCCACGAGACCCAGGGCCACGAGACTCAGGGCCACGAGACTCAGAGCCACGAGATGACCAGTGGCCACGAGACTCAGGGCCACGAGACTCAGGGCCACGAGACTCAGGGCCACGAGACTCAGGGCCACGAGACTCAGGGCCACGAGACCCAGGGCCACGAGACCCAGGGCCACGAGACCCAGGGCCACGAGACCCAGGGCCACGAGACTCAGGGCCACGAGACTCAGGGCCACGAGACTCAGGGCCACGAGACTCAGGGCCACGAGACCCAGGGCCACGAGACCCAGGGCCACGAGACCCAGGGCCACGAGATGACCAGTGGCCACGAGATGACCAGTGGCCACGAGACCCAGGGCCACGAGACTCAGGGCCACGAGACTCAGGGCCACGAGACTCAGGGCCACGAGACTCGAGGCCACGAGACTCGAGGCCACGAGACTCAGGGCCACGAGATGACCAGAATGTCATTACTGAAATTTAAATAAACATGAAGCATTTCTTCTGCCCGGGCTCCAGTACTGGGGCCTCCAGTACTGGGGCCTCCAGTACTGGGGCCTCCAGTACTGGGGCCTCCAGTACTGGGGCCTCCTGCACGGTGCCTGGAGGACACAAGGCCGGCACTCTCCACCAAGAAGCACCCAGGACACGACTCATCACTCTTCTCACCACCACTGGAGAGTGCCACCACTGGAGAGTGCCACCACTGGAGTGCCACCGCTGGAGAGTGCCACCACTGGAGAGTGCCATCACTGGAGAGTGCCACCACTGGAGAGTGCCACCACTGGAGAGTGCCACCACTGGAGAGTGCCATCACTGGAGAGTGCCACCACTGGAGAGTGCCACCACTGGAGAGTGCCACCGCTGGAGAGTGTCACCACTGGAGTGTGCCACCGCTGGAGAGTGCCACCACTGGAGAGTGCCATCACTGGAGAGTGCCATCACTGGAGAGTGCCACCACTGGAGAGTGCCACCGCTGGAGAGTGTCACCACTGGAGTGTGCCACCGCTGGAGTGTGCCACCGCTGGAGTGTGCCACCACTGGAGAGTGCCACCACTGGAGAGTGCCACCACTGGAGTGTGCCACCGCTGGAGAGTGCCACCACTGGAGTGTCACCACTGGAGAGTGTCACCACTGGAGAGTGCCACCACTGGAGAGTGCCACCACTGGAGAGTGCCACCACTGCCCAGGTACCTGCGGACAGTACTAGCCTGACCCCAGGCCGCGCTCGGGGAGTAGAGAATCTCCCGAAACCCTCTCCAGGTAATCCCCAGGTAAACTTTCCTCCCGGTACCACATAACTGGTCAGGTGAGGGACATTGAACATGGCAACTACTTTATCTGTGATTTCTCGTGACACGTGTCAACAGTGTGTCAACAGTGTGTCAACACTGTGTCAACACTGTCAACAGTGTGTCAACAGTGTGTCAACACTGTGTCAACACTGTGTCAGTGTGTCAACAGTGTGTCAGTGTGTCAACAGTGTGTCAGTGTGTCAACAGTGTGTCAGCAGTGTGTCAGCAGTGTGTCAACACTGTGTCAGCACTGTGTCAGTGTGTCAACAGTGTGTCAGTGTGTCAGTGTGTCAGCAGTGTGTCAGCAGTGTGTCAACAGTGTGTCAGTGTGTCAACAGTGTGTCAGCAGTGTGTCAGCAGTGTGTCAGTGTGTCAACAGTGTGTCAGTGTGTCAACAGTGTGTCAGCAGTGTGTCAACAGTGTGTCAACAGTGTGTCAGTGTGTCAACAGTGTGTCAGTGTGTCAACAGTGTGTCAGTGTATCAACAGTGTGTCAACAGTGTGTCAGCAGTGTGTCAACAGTGTGTCAGTGTCAGCAGTGTGTCAGTGTGCCAGCAGTGTGTCAGCGTGTCAGCAGTGTGTCAAGAGTGTGTCAAGAGTGTGTCAAGAGTGTGTCAAGAGTGTGTCAAGAGTGTGTCAACAGTGTGTCAACAGAGTGTCAGCAGTGTGTCAACAGTGTGTCAACACTGTGTCAGCAGTGTGTCAGCAGTGTGTCAACAGTGTGTCAGCAGTGTGTCAACAGAGTGTCAGCAGTGTGTCAACAGTGTGTCAACACTGTGTCAACTGTGTGTCAACAGAGTGTCAGCAGTGTGTCAGCAGTGTGTCAACAGTGTGTCAGCAGTGTGTCAACAGTGTGTCAGCAGTGTGTCAACAGTGTGTCAGTGTGTCAACAGTGTGTCAGTGTGTCAACAGTGTGTCAGTGTGCCAACAGTGTGTCAGCAGTGTGTCAACAGTGTGTCAGTGTGTCAGCAGTGTGTCAGCAGTGTGTCAACAGTGTGTCAACAGTGTGTCAACAGTGTGTCAACTGTGTGTCAACAGAGTGTCAACAGAGTGTCAGCAGTGTGTCAACAGAGTGTCAGCAGTGTGTCAACACTGTGTCAACAGTGTGTCAGCAGTGTGTCAACAGTGTGTCAGCAGTGTGTCAGTGTGTCAACAGTGTGTCAACAGTGTGTCAGTGTGTCAGCAGTGTGTCAGTGTGTCAGCAGTGTTTCAACAGTGTGTCAGCAGTGTGTCAGTGTGTCAGCAGTGTGTCAGCAGT